ATATCCGGAAAAACGGATATCCGGAAAATAAATAGATATTTGCGGATATTTACGAATATTTACGGATATCTCATCCATTTTAATTAGTACAAATAATCTTAAGATTTTGATACAAATTTGCTTTGCAAAAATATTTTTTGCATGATATATAAAATAAAACTTAAAAGAACTAGTGAATTTATAGATTTTGTAATTTTTTTAAAGTTTAAGTTACAATTATAATAACACAAAATTTAAGAAAAAAATATAATTGTCAAAAATATCCTATCTCTTTTTATGCAATACTTTTATATAAGTAATCATTTGAATAGAATTGTTCAAAATCATGTGCTAAAATAATAGTTATATAATTTTATACAATTAAAATTTTAAATATAATCATAATATACATATATTTATATATTTACGGATCGGATCGGATATCCGCTTTCCAAAATTTTAATATTTGTGATTTGTTTCGATTTTAACGGATATTGAATTTTAGTATTTGCTTTGATTCGAAAGTTTACGGATATCCGGAATTTTCGGATCGAATCGAAACGAATAACGGATCGAATCAAATATAACGGATAAAATGCCCAGCCCTAATCTGATATTATTTAGAGACTCTCGAAACACTTCTCTGATGACCGTTAGCTGAGACAACTTTCGGTGGTTGCAACCTCCAAATGAAATCAAGAAAACGGTCCAAAACTTTTGTGGCCACTCTCCTCTAAAGTTTTACTTATCCGTCACAAAAATATTCTACCATAAATGTCCTCACATATGGAGTTTACTACCGAAAACATTAGGGAAATGCAAAAGGAAAACAAGTAAAAAAAATGATTGCAGAGACGGGGATGCTGATGGTAGGCATTCTGGGACTATGGGCGCGACTTGTTCGGCAGCCACTTCTTGAATTCACCGGAGAAATTATTCAAGTTGCCTCCGAAGTCGTGTCTAGGATTAGTGTCCCAGATACAGCTTCCTATGTTCCTCTTTCTTCTAGTACTAACAACTCTTCTCCTTCCATCTCCAGAAGAAGGTGATATGAAAATGTATATATAGATGACAATATGCTATATTAAGAAATTCAGGGATGCAGATATAGGTTTTGCTTTCCATATTTGTAGGTTCTCAACTATATATGTGTACTTATTTTGATACGTTAAATTATTGATCTGAAATTGTTACTTACAAGAGTTTGAAGAATGCTAAGTAATCATACTCATTATTTCAAACTCTACTAACTCTTGTAGAATGTAGAGTCTCGTGTTTCTCTATCTACAACAACTGAAAGCTCAAACACAATGATTAATGATCAAATGTTTACCAACCGTAGACCTTATATAATGAGAACGTGACATCAGCCGAGAAAGTGTTATCGGAATTTTAAGCTAAGGGGGTTTATAAAAGCGAACGGTCCACTAGACTACTTTATAGATCCAGGGAATAACTTGATAGGCAAGTTTTTCATAAAAGTACTTCAGATAGAAGAATGCTTTTTTTCTTTGCACTTCAAAGCCCAAACAATAGGTTTGCTACGGGCTAATCCGTTCGTGTTGTTTGATGAGCCTTTAAGTTTTCTAAGATCAAGTAACCAATTAATGATAATTACATTCCTAATCTAGTGAGATTTTCGTTATTTTCTCTGTTTTCAAACCAGCTAAACCCAAGGTAACTGAACCAAAATAGCATCTAATTAACAACTTGACTTCACATTGTAAGTCATATGGTTCAATGTTTCTTTTATAAACATTTAATCCCATATAACTTTCAATGTCTTTTCATAAACTACATAATTCACAAACAACAACCAAAATTTAGTGATCATTATCCACATTTGTGACTAATCGCTACTTAATGCCAACTCTCTTAATTATTGTGATCATCTTTTGGAATACAAAAAATATATTTTGGAGCGACAGAGAAAACAGAAGTTTTATTTATTTTAATGTCAGAAATGTGTAAGCAGTTAACTTATTTATTCAGGTAATGAGAATGTTACGAAGTATCCAGAAAAAAAAAATTAAATCTTCAGTTCTCGATATCCTTTGACAAGAAGTATAAGAAGACAAGTAGATACAATTGATCAATCACGTGACCCACATAAATAATAATCATAATAATACCTAATAACTTCTTGTATAATTATTACAAACAGAACTTCCCTATGACTATTCTTGAATTGGTTCCAACAAGTAGTTTATACCTTTTGGTCATAGTCTTGTGATATCATTAATAAAGCATCTGTTCTAACCACCTCTTGAAGTTTCTCGGTGATTAGCCACTTTACCATCATTAATGATTTATACTGTCCAACCTTATACACACCATTTATCCAACAAAACAATAATTAAGATTGTATGATTTCATGCTTTAAACAATCAATATTCACAAGTATAACTGAATTGTGGACTATAGGCTTTTAGACTGTTGTACCAAATATAAAAATATTATTAAATAATTGTCGTTTTAAGATTGTAAATTAAGAACATATTTAAATTTTATATTTTCTAGACTAAAACATCATTAATTTTTCTAACTTTAATTCAACCAATAATAAAATATATTGTATTATATTATATCATTGGTTATATAATATTAATTATTAATAAATTTTATTTAGAAACTTAAAAATGTTAATTTATTTTGGTACAAAAGCATTTTTCTAAAATATCGAGTATTAAAAAGAGAATTTGTATCCTATACACACAGCTTTCTCCGTAATTAAGTCAATGCTTCAAATCTCCCCTCCACAATGGTACATGCATTGTTAGAGAACAAACTTGTCCATCATGTGTATTTTGCTAATTTCATTATTATTTGGGGGTTTCAAGCCAATTTACTCTATTAAAAAACGGACGAAGTATATTTTGGAGAAATAATTTAGTTTTATCAGCCTAGTGAGTGGTGGTTGTCGTGTTAGCATCGAAATCACATATCGTAATGCCACCATCCATGGTAAGATAATTAATTTTGCATCACTTTATATTTTTTTCATGTAAACAGGATACACGATTCATCAATATACAATAACTGATCCTGAAGATTCGGTTTTTTTTTTTTTGCAATTTATTTATAAGAACTTTAAGTATCTGGGCAAACACTACTACTTGATCACTATCTTCTGCACCAAGTCCGAATCATTCATCTCACATGGTTTGATATATCTATTAAATAATTGTGTAACTCGATTGTCTCCCCTCCAAGCTAAGAAATATAAGAAATATAGTAAACATCACATAAAATTTATGCCACAATCATTTTTGTCATATAATTTCGATTATAATGTTTATCTAGGTAACTGTTACTGTCATCTGTCTCTCTTATTATCCAACTTTTGACAAATTTGAGTGATCTAACATGTCAACTAACACTTTCATCTCCAACAAAACACTTGTTTATTCAAATTATTATACATTTTCTATTATCATTTAGTAGCAACTTGCACTGTTTTCTTATTATCACCATTCACCACTAGTAATAAAAAAGTTGGATCTTGGTTGAAACTTGTAAGGAACAAACACTCCTACGTACCAAACTTCGATGCCTTGTAGTTTGGCTAGTTGAAAAGATTCTCTTTGGAAATATGACTCTAATTTAGTCGCCGGTGTCTCAAAGTTAGAGCAAAGTAGACATGTATTGGAAACTGAAGAACGAGAGAGCGGACCTAAAAAGGCTTGTTTCAAGGATTGACATAGAGGTTGTGACTGGTAAATATCAGAGTAAATGGGAGTAAAAAAATTAGAGTAAATGGAAAGAAAAATTTATGGAGTAAACAAATAAACAAAAGAAAAAGTAACAGTTACATCGAGCGTTAAGTGATTCACTCTTCAATAACCATGAGGAAAAAACAAGTCATTTTCCTTTAGATCAAACAGTAACTAGAGTAATTCTATTTAAAAAATTTTCACATGATTGGTTTGTATAGTGGCTGAACCGAGAGTAACAATTATATCGCTGATAATATTAACGCTATAGTGGATATACAGTCAAATCTAGATTATGTGATGAATATTTTAAAATAGTACTCTCTTTTTTTTTAATGATGAATATTTTAAAATTTTCACACAAAATAACAAAATATATTAAATTGTAACTATAATAAATTTTTATAATCATTTATTTCCTATAATTCTAAACCAATAAAAATAATAATTATAAATATTGTTTGAGGTTTACATTTAATCATTAGTAGTTGACAATATAAAAATATATATTGAAAATATAAAAGATGAATCATTTAATTTTTTTTTTCTCTAAAATATGTACTTTTTTGAAAGGGGATGAAAACTATGATTGAATGTAATTTACAATGAATATGGAGATTAAAAAGTTTAACAGACAAAATAGATGAAACAAAATTCAGTAAATTTCCCGGGGAATGTTTGGTAAGATTAATGAAATTACTACGACATGTTTTAAAGTACAAGTAATTACAGTCAATATAGAAGTCCGTGTGTTATCGGGTGAAGTGGGTGTGTCGGCGTACAAGACGAAGGGACCCACATGGGGGCATATGATTAAATCATTTATTAAATATTAATAAATGAGAAAAAGGAAAAAGAATCAAAGAAACCTTCTATGAAAATCTCTCTCTCTCTCTCTCTCTCTCTCATCTTACTTCTTCATGTGAATGTCTGAGCTTCAGTTGCATGTGCTTTTGCTATTTGGATCTCAAATCGTTCGTTCCTACAGCTTTTACTTATCTATCTCTTAGCTGTCACGAAACATTCTCTTTCACTTCTCTCTCTCTCTCTCTGCTAAAATAAATCAGAAACATATCAACAACATTCTTGAACAGAGCCATACGTTCTTCAGCTCCTGCTGAATCTTAAATTTACTCATCATTTTTGGATCTTTAAAATGGATCCAAGAACAAGACTTGACTATGTTCTGTTTCAACTCACCCCCACCAGGACAAGGTAGTTCTAAAACTCAAAAACGCTAATTTATTTATTTCTTTCTTTCTTATTAACCATGTTTGATTGATTCTCTGTTTTTTTTTTTTTTTGTCTTTTTGCTGTCTGAAGATGCGAGCTTGTGATTTTCTCCGGTGGCGAGAACGAGAAACTTGCTTCCGGGATTTTTCAACCGTTCGTTACGCATCTCAGAAGTGTAAGAGATCAGATTTCTAAAGGTGGATACTCAGTCACTCTCCGTCCTTCTTCCGTCGCCGGAGCTAATTGGTTTACCAAAGTGACGCTTCAGAGGTAAAAAAAATAAAAATCTCCCCGTCTTCTAGAAAACTTTCCTCATTCGTCTCTAACACCTTAAAGGACTAAGCTTTTGTTTCTGAATTTGGGTTAAAGATTTGTTCGATTCGTGACAACTCCGGAGGTTCTTGAGAGGTCTGTGACATTAGAGAAGGAGATTGAGCAGATTGAGGATTCGATTCATTCTAATGCAGCCGCTATTTCCGGTGAAGCAGAAGGAGATTTACCAAAGGTGATTCATTTTTAATGCTAAAAGCTGAGTTCTTGCTTAATGTTTTTAAATCGTTATTGACTCTGTTTTGTATGTAATAGGCACAAGGTGAATCTGATGTTCAAGAAAATTCTAAGTAAGTTTCAGTATAGTCTTGTTGGGGTGGAGTTTTTATTGGTTATGTCACTTATGTGATTTGATTAATCCTGATAAGCGGTGTGAATATGAATGTAACAGGGTTGGTCTCCAGCGTGTTCTTGAAACCCGCAAAGCAGCTTTGTGCAAAGAGCAAGCAATGGCTTACGCTAGAGCTTTGGTTGTTGGGTTTGATCTGGACTACATGGATGATCTATTGTCCTTTGCAGATGCATTTGGAGCTTCACGTTTAAGGTAAGTAACTGAACCAAGAACCATCCATGTCTTTGTATGCATCTGTATGACGATGAATCACTTTTGTGTTCTCCAGGGAAGCATGTGTTAACTTTGTGGACTTGTGTAAGAGGAAAAACGAAGATAGGATGTGGGTGGACCAAATCACAGCTATGCAAGCCTTTCCTAGGCCTGAACTATCTTTCATGGGTGACTCTGGGATCATACTCGCTGGCGAAGAGAATGATACAAACGTGAAGCAGATGGATGCAATGAGCCAGGGTAGCTTTGAGATTAGCCAAGGTCCTCAGATGGCAATGCCTTGGCCAAACCATTATCCTCAGTACATGCAGAACTTCCAGGGACATGGTTATCCTCCTTATATGTTTCCGGGGATGCAAGGCCAGCCGCCTTATTTCCCTGGGAATATGCAGTGGCCTGTTAACATGGAGGCAAGTGAGAAGTCTTCCAAGAAGAAAAAGAAGAAGAAGAACAAGAAGAAGTCCAAGAAAGATGAATCCACCGAGGAGCCAAGCGATGAGTCCAGTGCTGAGACCATATCAGAGGACGGAGATGAAGGGAAGAAATCATCTAGAAAAGTGGTTATACGTAATATAAACTATATAACTTCAAAGAGAAATGGAGCTAAAGATAGTGGTTCAGATGAGTCTGAAGATGAGGAAGAAGGGTTTGTGGATGGAGATTCCATCAAGCAGCAAGTAGAAGAAGCCATTGGCTCGTTAGAGAAAAGGCATAAATCAACTTCACGCCGTAGTAGGAGGAAGCACAAAAGTCACAGTGAAGATGAGGAGGAAACAGGTAATAAAGAAACTAAAGGGAATGATAATTGGGATGCCTTCCAAAACCTTCTTTTAAAAGACAAAGAATCAGACCAGGAAACAGCTCCATGTCCGTTGAACATGGAGTCAGAACTTGTGAGCAAGAGAGAGCTTCCTTTGGATGATTCGTTCTTAATTACAAATGGGACTGATGATTGGGGGAGGGAGAGTAGTATCAAGAAACTTGATGCAGGTGAGAATGTTAGGCTGATAAGGAGGGAGAACAACTATGACGATGAGATGATGAATCCAGGTAGAGGAGATGAGTCAAGAAGCTATTCACAGGCAGAGATGGCTGTTTATAGTGGAAAGCTCAGAGCTAGAAACGAGACAGAGGAAGACTGGTTCATACGTAACCAAGCAGATACTGAAAGAGATGTCAAAACATTTGTAGGAGATGATCTCCACGTAACGAAGAGAAGCGAGAGAGATGTACTGACTGATGACTCGTTCATGATCCATTCTCGTGTTGAGAGCCAAGTAGAAGAGTCTCGGTTAAGGACAGATATGATGGACTCAGACGTCTATGGAACCACCAAACAAGAAAACTCTACACCGGAGATCAAACAACAAGAGCCTGATGACCTCTTCATGGTTCTTGGACGTGAACAAGATGTTACACCTACAATGATGTCCTGGACTCCTGAGATTGACTTCGAGAATGACACTTTGGCTCAAGAGAAGAACAAACTCGATTTGGAAAATGCTGCAAAGGCCAAAGCAGGTGAACAGACTTCAAATGGTAAAGAAAAGAAACTCCGTGGCGTCGTTAAGGGGAAGGATGCAAAGACAAGAGGTTCAACTAGACCTGACCCGGCCTTGAAAGCTAAGAGAGCTCCTTGGGGAAGTAGAGCAGCTGCCACCAAAACCAAATCCGAGATGGTAAAAAATTTCTCTTAACCGTCTTTCTTGATTAGTTTCACTTTATCTCACTTGCATTTGCTATTTTGATAGGAGGAAGAGAGAAAAAAGAGAATGGAAGAACTTTTGATTCAGAGGCAAAAGAGAATCGCTGAGAAGAGTTCTGGTAATAGTAGTAGTGTATCAAGTCCCGTAACCTCCAAGAAAACTCCTGCTGGAACCAAAACCGTGAAGACCACGGTAAAGAATGAGAAGACACCAGAAGCTGTGAAGGCTAAGCCGGTACTGAGAAGTTCCACTATCGAGCGCCTTGCTGTTGCCAGGACAGCACCAAAGGAGCCACAGCAAAAACCAGTAAACAAAAAAACAACAAAACCTGTTGTAGGAAACAAAACAGAGAAGCCTCAAGACAAGAAACCTAGTAGAAAAGGTCCGGGACTTTCTCGTGACCCTAGTCTCGAAATCAAGGAAACAGTGGAGGAATCATCACAGTCTTACTTGCCGGTGAAGCAAGTTGATGAACTACTTCCTCCTGCCGCTTCTTCTCTTGATGACTTCAAAGACATTAAAGAAACCATCACTAATCATCAGAAAGTAGAAGAACAGACAAAAATAGATGATGAGGAGATAGTGAAGAAGACACCCGTCTGTGAAGACAAGGAAGTCACTAGCAACCCTTGTTCGGAGGATGTCGGAGAAGTCAAGACTTCACAGCAAAAACCACTGTCTCCCAAGAAGTCAGTGACGTTTTCTGAGACAAACATGGAGGAGAAGTATTTCTTCTCGCCAACGGTTTCAGAGACTGAAATCTCCACGCCGCCAGCTACTGAACAAGATCACTCGAGGAAGAAATGGAACAGTGAAGAGACGTCTCCGAAGGCTACAGCCAAAGGCTTCAGAAAGCTTCTTATGTTTGGGAGGAAAAAATGAAAGAATCTAATAGTTACTACAACGACGTCGTGTTTGAGTTTGGTTGAAAAGCGGGTTAAATACTTTTCTTTATATTCTTTAAATTGTTTGTTGTGTGATATTAAATTCTGTTGCGGTGTTTATCAATTTGATTTGGCTGTTTATATCTCATTGTTGGATGTGCTGTTTGTGGCATTTGAGTGTATACAAATCGGTTTGGTGAGTTTGAATAAAGTAAGTTTATTTGGATCTTTTGTAACTAAACTATTTGCTTGGTGATCATTAGGGTAAACAATACGAAATTAGATAGTGAGGAAGAGTTAAATAAGAACAAAGTTGTATAATGGCGATAATTCATATAATGAAGGATATGTTTATGAGTATGATTTATGCTAATTATGAAAATGTTTTCTCATGAAATTCGGTGAGATATTCTTCAGAATTAAGAGTTTGATTGGTTGATGCTGTGATTTTAGTTTTTCGCTGTAGAATAAATGCTATGTATTTTTTTAACTGTAGTTTTAAAAATTTTGCTGTGATTTTGATTGTTATAAAACTCACAGATTCATTAATAAATTTCTAAAGCACTGTTTTTTTGCTGTGAAAATATATGTGTCTACAGCTCCAAAATATAAGAAAAAAAGAAACGAAGCTGTAGGTTTCAAAATCAACGCAAAGCTTGATTGTTAAATATTATGGATGTATAAATATTTTTGGCTGTGTACAGCAACCAAAGCACAAACCAATCAACCTATAAGTTGTTCTATCAGATTGATGTAGAAGCCTCCAACTAGAATTTCCACAAACATCTCTTCGTTTTTACTTTTAAAATTATTCTAAATATTTATTTCGGTAACATGTTACAATCACGTTATATCTTTTCACGTTTTTAGGCATTTTTCAAGCTGTTTTCCATTTTGAACAACGATCAAAAAGAAGAGTAAGAACTTTGATTCCATCACGTTAATATCAAAGAAAATTTCACTAGAATTAAAAAGAGAGGTGACATAGCTCATTTTCTTTTTCAACAAAAATAATATCTTAATTTGTTTTGCCAAAAACAACAAAGGATTCTCTCACAAGGAAGCTATCTTTCGCTCTACGCATCCATTTTTCCCAATTTCTTATATAAACTTTTTTCCAAGACATAAAAGGTGAGATGCCCATTTCAAATGGTAACGTGTCTTTTTCCATTAGGCGAGAGACAATCAAATCTGAGCAAACAAAGTTGTCTTTATATCTAAACAAACATTTTGTGAAAGAGAGGGAGAGTAAGGTGAAGCCATGGCATCAAAGATTGTCTCAGCCATAGTCTTTGTGTTCAACCTTATTGCCTTTGGTCTAGCCGTGGCTGCTGAACAAAGACGAAGCAGTGTAAGTCTTAATCCAACGCATAACCTTTGAGCAAGATTAGGATTATGTGATCGCTATATTAATATTTTTTCAAAAAAAAATTGGTGGGGACAGGCAAAGGTTGTGCAGGACACTGAGGTGCAATACAACTATTGTGTGTATGATTCAGACAGAGCCACAGGTTATGGAGTTGGAGCGTTTTTGTTCTCAGTGGCTAGTCAACTTCTTATCATGCTCGTTAGCCGCTGCTTCTGTTGTGGCAAGCCTCTAAAGCCTGGTGGTTCACGCGCTCTTGCTCTCGTTCTCTTCATTGTAAGCTGGTAAGATATATCCTCTATTGTCAAAGTCAGGATGGCCGAGTGGTCTAAGGCGCCAGACTCAAGTTCTGGTCCTCGTAAGAGGGCGTGGGTTCAAACCCCACTTCTGACATTATTATTTTTATTTTTTTTCTACTCTTTTGTGATTTTAACTCAATTACTATAAAACAACTTAATAAAAACGCAAGTTTTCGCAATATGGAAATTACGAAGATGATTTCAAATCCACAATCATGCATAGTCAATAAACATTGGCTTTAGCACATGTTTGGCATTCGGCTTGCATCCATTCATTGCCTGTCCTGAGATTTTAAGGAACATAGACATTATATTTGAACGTGTAACACACATCCAAACGATATAATGTGTCTCCGAGGCTAAATAACCAAGCATCTTTGTTGGTTATATATAAAACGAAACATGTTTATCATCTTTGATACTTATCCAGTTATGTTTTTATCACTGAACTGATCAAATGCACATAACTTTCATTCAATCAGCAAAAAAAAAAAAACTGAAACTGGGGTTAATATTTATTTTGTTCATATTTTGACTGTTTTTTTTTCTTGGGAAACAATATAGGATGTTCTTCTTAATAGCGGAGATATGTCTATTAGCTGGATCCGTAGAGAATGCATACCACACCAAGTACAGGACAATGTTCATGGACAATCCTCCTGATTGTCAAACTCTTCGTAAGGGTGTCTTCGCTGCTGGTGCCTCCTTTGTCTTCTTCAACGCCATTGTCTCTCAGTTCTACTATTTCTTCTACTCCTCTGCTGCTGACGCCTCCCTCTCGCCTTACTAGAGGATTTGAACCAACAAAATGAATTTGTTTTTTTTTTCTATGTGCTATGTGATATACTAATGTCATATTTGGGACATGCTGCTTATTGTATGAATGCAAAGTTATTTGAATTTTAGGGTATACAACATTGAGTTTTGTAGATAGATTTGTATGGATATAAAGGATATTGAACTGAAATGTTGTTTTTAAAAAGGCGGGTATAACGTGTGACGGTTTGCGATTTATATGCTATATTTGTTGATAGAACATATGCTACAACATTTATGTATGCAACTCATAGTTGTAAGATGATAGTAGAGGTAGAGCATGAACATTATGATGATATATAGGTGTTTATCGCTTTCAAATTAGAAAACTGATTATTAACTTTCAGTTACACATTAAAATTACTTTATGAATAAAAAAACAATCAAGAAAATGGGAAAATTATCCAAACAAATAAGAGTAACCATAACGAATTGTAGCATATTTTTGTAAGATATCTCCATCTCCCATGCCAAGGTATGGAATCCCATGAACACCAATCACCATCCTTTTATTGCAACGTTACCTAAAAAGCCAATAAAATAAAATATCTTCTGAGAGGGAAATCTAAACCTCGAATTCTCATTGGATATTCAATGATGATGTGGCAGATACTTTCTTTAAGATAATGTTATCCACACATCTTCTGTGATTTCTCTGGGGACCACTCTCTCCCCCTTGTCCGAACATCACCTCCTCCACTCCTTCACGAGTATACATAAACGCGCACACACTCTCGCAAAGTATCCACTTCAGTAGTCTTCTTCTTCAATCACTTTTGCTCATCTATCTCTCTCTCACTCTCTGTTTTGTCCCAAAAATGGCTCTTCAAGCTGCTTCTTTGGTCTCCTCTGCTTTCTCTGTCCGTAAAGATGTAAAACTGAATGCTTCTTCATCATCCTTCAAGGACTCAAGTCTCTTTGGTGCCTCCATTACCGAACATGGCTCTTCCTCGTTAAGACTCAAGGTACATAACAACACCCCCTCACACTCCCTACATTAGAATCTCGCTTAAGCCTTCTTATGCTAATAATGATTAGTAATGGTTAATTGATTTCAGAGAGAACATAGCGTGAGGAACGTAGCGATTAGAGCCCAAACCGCCGCAACTTCAAGCCCATCCATCACAAAATCATCAGTTGACGGCAAGAAGACCTTGAGGAAAGGTAACGTGGTGGTCACGGGAGCCTCGTCAGGGTTAGGTCTAGCCACGGCCAAAGCTCTCGCCGAGACAGGGAAATGGCACGTGATAATGGCGTGCAGAGACTTCCTTAAAGCCGAGAGAGCAGCTAAATCCGCAGGGATGCCTAAAGACAGCTACACGGTGATGCATCTAGACTTGGCTTCTTTAGACAGTGTGAGACAGTTCGTTGATAGCTTTAGGAGATCAGAGATGCCTCTCGATGTTTTGGTCTGCAACGCTGCTGTTTATTTCCCGACAGCTAAAGAGCCTACTTACAGTGCAGAAGGGTTTGAGCTTAGCGTCGCGACCAACCATTTGGGACACTTTCTTCTCTCGAGGTTGTTGCTTGATGACTTGAAGAAATCTGATTACCCTTCAAAGCGTCTCATCATTGTCGGATCCATTACAGGTATTGTCTAGAATCTACTTAAATTTTAGAGAATGATTTTGATAATTGTATTAGGAGCCGGATCTGAGATTTTGGGGTTTATAAACATTTTTAAAATAATCTTCATTAATTTTTTTTGATAATTCAGAGGTTATGCAACTTATATATAATAGTTTTTTAACAAATTTAAAAACCTAGGCGAATGTTTCATCCGGTTGTGTCTAGAACCGACCATGATTGTATCTTTGTTTTTGGTTCAGGGAACACGAATACATTGGCTGGTAACGTACCACCGAAGGCTAACCTAGGCGACTTGAGAGGTTTAGCGGGCGGTTTGAACGGTTTGAACAGCTCGGCGATGATTGATGGAGGAGATTTCGACGGTGCAAAGGCTTACAAAGACAGCAAAGTGTGCAACATGTTGACGATGCAAGAGTTTCACAGGCGTTACCATGAAGACACTGGAATCACATTCGCTTCGCTTTACCCTGGTTGCATTGCCTCCACTGGTTTGTTCAGAGAGCACATTCCTCTTTTCCGTACGCTCTTCCCTCCGTTTCAGAAGTATATCACTAAAGGATATGTCTCCGAGACAGAGTCTGGCAAAAGACTTGCTCAGGTAATAAAAAGGAAGCTTCTTTTTAGCTTCTGAGTCAAGGGAAGAGTTTTCTTTGGTGTGTAGTTTAATGAGTAGAGGTTTTTTGTTTTGTTTTGTTTTGAGTAGGTGGTGAGTGATCCGAGCTTGACGAAATCAGGAGTTTACTGGAGCTGGAACAAGGCTTCGGCTTCTTTTGAGAACCAGTTGTCAGAAGAAGCGAGTGATGTTGAGAAGGCTCGTAAAGTGTGGGAGATCAGTGAGAAGCTTGTTGGCTTAGCCTAAGAGGATTTGAGACTCTCTTTTAATTGCTGAGACCTCTCTGTTATCTACCAACTGATGAGTCCTAGAGAGTTTTCTGGATTGTATTGCATGTTTTTTCATTAGTGCATGTTGAGTGTTAGATTCTGTTTGGGTGAGTAGCCCATAATAATGAAATAAAAGTTGGTCTATCTTAATGTTTTGTTATGGTCTGTGTTTTCATCGTAACAAAAGATCACCATGTTGTTTACATTCTCTGAAACTATATTCTGAGAAACAGAACAAGTTGTACTCTACAAGCTTGAAGAGCAGATAATGAATGTTGAAAAGTTAATTTTTCTATATAACCTCGAAACCTATTCACAGTTTTATTCATGGCTTATTCATAACAAAGGTGGAGAAGAACAGAAACGGAACATGAAAGTGCGAAAAACAAATTATTATTAGGAAGTTCAGAGAATGCAAATATTCAGAGAGACCAGTTGGCTTCACTTCCACGACGAGGGATACTGTTAACACGCGAGTACACATCCACCTTGAAGTTGGCACCACACAGAACTCCTTCACTGTCCACTCTCGGCATAGCCTTGATCTTGTTCATTGGATGCTCAAAGCTCATTAACCCTCCTTCACTGTGGAACATACATCCTGCAACATTCCCAAAAATCCATCAGACATATCATTATATTTTTTAATCATACATATGCATTAGGCTTCAATATTTATACAATACAGGCTTGATACAATATCATTGTGCTTTAGATTATCCAACTTTAACTCCTAACTTTGGTGAAATAACAAGATTTTAGCTCTCCTAATTATATATGATCAAGAACCATAAGTAATATCTTTACATGTATTATTTATGATCATTTCCTATCATTTGTTAAAGCATATGAAGATTGTACTATGTGAATGGTGATAATTAAGTTATTATTACCAGTAGGAAATGGAGCAAAAGATTTAGCACAACCCTCTTTGATAACATCTAAATCATCTGATATCACAACAGATCCATCAGCAGCTATTCCCCAAAACAGCTTCACTCCTCCATCAGATCCCTACAAGCCAAATTCTCAATTTTACATATTTACATTTTATTAAAAAGACATCAAAAGGGCTTTAGATTGGTTTGTGCGAGTACCAGAGCGGTGAAGACAGAACCAGCTTTGCTATCATAAACAACAAAGGCAAAGCTACCATCTAAATCCTTGACAACCTGATCGGCTGGATAAGGACCTCTGTCTCTAAGAGTCCTATAAGCCTCAATCACAAACATGGCCTCGTTTGTTGTCTTAGTAAGACCATATTGCTTGTTTAGCTGACACAGATTGTTCAAGCTCCCAAAGAAGAGACAGTAGATGTCATCAAATCCACAAAACAACCTAGACAAAAAATTTTAACACAAGATTCAACGAAACAGAACCACCTTTAAAACAAGAAGGGAAAGCAAGATCATATATGTTATAACCTCTGGTGGATGGAGAAGGAAGCAGAGGGACGAACATAAGCAAGAACAGCTGCTTTTCCGAATGACATGGAGAAAGTGTTGAGAGGGTAACGAGACAAGAAGTCGTTTAAGGTTTCTTCTGGAAGTTTGGGCTGTTTAGAGCATTTCTCAGACGCAGGACTGTAGAGTTCCTCCGGCGGGTGAGCAAAGGCCTCGTGAAATATAGCCAACATTTTTCTCCAGCGAGAGAAAAGAGAGAGAAAACAACAATGAAGAAGAGTTTTGTTTCTCTCTATAATAAGATAAGAATCTTTAAAGGAAGAATACAGAAGCAAGAGTGGTGAGGTTTCTTGAGTTTATATATATAACTCAAAGCGGTGGTATTTGTTTTTATTCAGTTGTCTGTTTTATTTTTTGCTGTGGGTTAGAAACGGTTTTGGATGAGATCACAAGACTATTCGTTCATTTACATTTTGCACGTAGTTTTGCTGCTAAGAAGGAAAATATTACACGTAATTAACTTAAATGGATAGATTTTCGAAATAGTCTAATGTGTGTGTTGGCTTGTTTCAGAATATTCGAGGATTGTATTTTTGAAAGTAGATATTTTTTGGAAAATAATCAGGAAAAAAATGTATTTTTGTAACGTATTCTAGTGTTGATAATTGAACACATTGGTTTTGGATATGGAATCTTTGCAGAAGGAGAAGAGGTGGGCCATGAAAGGTGTGATGTCAGTGTCACGGGATAAGCATTCTCGTACTTTGATGTTGTTCTTATCTTCAATCTTCCCACTTTTGTCTTTTTCCTTTTTATCGATAATTCATTTTCTAAATTAAAGAGAAATTAAAATTTCTGCGACTTTCGAGGCTGAAACAGTCACGCACACCATGGTCAGTATCACATTTGCTGAAGGCTGCTTTTGAACAATCCCAAGAGTCGGTCCAATCATGATACAATTACATCCAGATTAGCTCATTTCACTTTGAGCTCTCTTTTTTTTTATCATCTGATATTAAAATCATCATCATCTGCTTTTTAATTTCCTGGTTTTGTTTCCATTTGGCTTTTGGTCTAGGACTGTAGAACACAGATTAAAACTCAGATTTGTATAAGACAACCTGTTCAACTATCTTTTAGTAACTGTTGATATAGTCGTTTTGGGTCAACCATTTAGAAGGAAGATTAACATTATGTAGATGCAGCTTGATGAACATAGTAAACATTGTAAGAAAGACTAGTAGAGGTATAGAATATGAGGATACAGAGGGCCGGGTATAAATAAAATTGGGCCCCCGTATGGTAAAGCTACAAGGGGTACTTGAAACTAAAAGCCCTTGTTTAATGACGTTCAATGGATAAAGATTGTTTAACTAAAAGCCCATATATTAAAGCCTTGCAGACTATGTTAATGAGCTATTTTTATACCAAAAGCTTGCTGCAATTGCTTTATCATGAGTTCCAAGTCCAGATATTACATGTAAACTATAGAAAAATACAGATGTTCAGCAAATATGACGTAACTTTTTTTGTAAAGGTTCATTCGTTTATTTATATTTAAGTTTACTCCGGGCAAAGTATTTTTTCCTGAAAATTATTAACAGTTAAGGGGATTAAAATGTGAAATAATTCTGGTAAAATCATATTTCAATCTTATTATTTGACACCAATTGCTCAAAAAGGAAATTTGACTAACAAAAAAAATGTAATATTTAGTTTGATAAGTGGAATTCAATCTTTCATATAACCGAAACAACTATAGAGCTCGTTTAGTTGATGTGATCTTCTAGTATATGACTTGTTTTGACATTAAAAAATCACCAGACATGTGGAGCGAGTTTTTCATTCCAGTTTACGATATAATTATCCAACCAAAGGTCTCATGTCCAGTGATATGGAATGCATTCTTATAACCGATTAAATAACAAAAGATAAGCAAACACACATCTCATCGGCCGTCTTTTTGTTTTTTCATGTCTCAGCCTTTTTTTGAAGTTCCTGAATCACACTACCTTGTAATATAAGAAAGTCTCTATAATTGAAGGTTCCTTTTCGCTTTGTTTTTGGTTAATTATTGTGTAAGTATTATTTTGTAAAAAGAAAAGCAAGGTCTGCTTATCTGTTGCACGTGCCATATAAGGACAACCACAGATCACGTTGCTTCGTTAGCTACTGTCCAAAAAGCTGGAGAGCAGTCACGTTCGCTCGCCTACTTTCGTTGAATCTAAAATTGTTTACGTCAACGCTTATTCATATATGCTTTTCATTCAGATGCCATATCTCCCTCCACCTTTCTATATACATTTTTTACACTATAAAAACCTAAAATAATGGAGTTTTCATTATCGTAGCAATATGTTTTGCAGGATATGCTACATTCTTCATTTGTTTAATTGTTCATTTGTTTCCACCTTCTATATTCCAAATTGATGAGTATCAATCTCATAATATGTATATAAAAACGATGAATTAAAGTATTGCTATTTTCAATTATTGAAATCTACTCCCTCTGTTTCATTATAAGTGTCACTCTACAGCTATGCACACGGATTAAGGAAATAATTAATTTTACATATTTCCTATATAAAAACACAGTTACCCATACACCTAATCATATTTTAACCAATAGAAAAACAAATTACATAATAAAATTAATAAATTTTGCATTGAAAATCGAAAACGACACTTATTTTGTAACACAAAAAATTCTCTACAACGACACTTAATATAAAACGGAGGGAGTATTATTTAGTTAGTAAACGAAACGATTTATTAATAATAATCACGTATATGATTAAAGAAAACGATTGATTATTCAGTCTGCATTTCTTAACAAGAGCATCATAAAACATATATATATAAACGCCATGAAAACATAAATCCATAACGGGATGTTAATTGAATAACCTTTACATGGACCTACCAGAGTGTAGTAATGAGTAAATTAGTTAACAATATTGTTAAGACGTGACATCGTGCAATTATCAAGGAATCATAATTATATATATGTACGGATCCGAGCATCTTATAGTGACGTCACTGTATAAGTCACACCGGTCGGATTCGTTGATCTGTATAGTGGTCCTCAAGACTTTCGTCCGGTGCATTCCCGGCGGCCCTTGAAAATCCTGGATTGCTTTTTTGTCGGATGCAGTAACTAGGTCATAGGGTGCTTAGTGTTCATAATTATATTAGAATTAGTTCTCTCTGGGATCGAGAAAGTGGTAAGGATCTCCCGCTTTATTAGGTTTAAGTTTTTATTTTAGTTAATGACCAGTATCAGCTTTCATTTGCATATATAATCAACTGTGTGGCTAAAGGTAGCCGATCGTTATTTGCTTTATCTTTTTTTATAATTTGCTTTATTTGTCTCTTCAAAAAATAAAAACAAAGGGTCCTGTCAGTTTGTGTAACAGAGAGGGATCAGATTAAGTCCATCAAATGGTGTTGTTTATATATATATATATATTTTTTTTTTCTGTTGGATATAATGAATATATATTTTTATTATATTTTTTTTTTTATTTTTTTATAAGATGTTTTAGAAGGTTTATGTTGTTCCAAAATATTAGATATTTTGAGATTTTAAGGTATGTATTGAAGTTTTAAATTTAAGTTTAACTTTATGGAAAACTGTTTAACCAATAAAATTTTTCAATTTTTTTTTATAATTGGTTGAATGATTTTAAAAGTACTCTTAAAAAGAAAGTAAATGTATTAATCTCCGTGTAGTCAACTTAAACATCTTATAAAAAGAAACAGAAAGATTATTATTTTATTATCTTGGGACTTAATTATGTTTGTGACTGTGACTGTTCTGTTTAAATATGTTCATTGTGATTCTGAAATCTGAACAGATTTTAAATTGAGTAAAAGTATATAGAGTAGAAAACAATGAAAAACTACTGCATTTCGAGCCCCAAAAAAGCCTACTGCAATATTGGTTACTTGTAGAATATATGCCTACTGACGTTTGACTTCTGTTCCCTTTACATTTGACATTGGAGGACTCGTCTTGGCTCATACTTACGAAAGGCCAAGACGAAGATAACTAACATGATCACGTAATCGAAAACAAAACAGGTAACTATAAGTCTATAACCGGCATAAATAATTCACACGAATATAATTACGCTCAGCTTGAGTGAAAGGAAATATTGTATATATACCATGTCAAACTAACGAGAAGACTGATAATTTGCTATAAGTCCTAATCAGGTCAATGCACACACAAGACTTGTAAATGTATCTATTTGGCTCTATGTGTCAATTGAACTTTGGTTAATCTATTACCATAGTACCGTAAAAATGTTGCATGTTGTAAGCAAACCAGGTTCACATGAGCATCACTTGCACTCATATAATCAAATAATTTACAGAGAACATACAACACATTGCAAAAACAAAGGCTTATGTATAGAAAGTAAGTACGTGGAAAACACTTGGCCAACTTGTTCCATTACGTGCAAGTACGACTTGTTATTTGTAAAAGTTGGAAAGAGCGTGTTTTTAGTGGGGGTGTTTAGTAAAGGTCGAAACATAATAAGATTCGAGAATTCGACACTACCAGTAAAACACCACACGGGATCACACTAGTTTTTAATTCTTCCAAAATTACTTGTAAGAAATTTTTAAGCATTTTAATTATATTTAAAGAATAAGCTATATTTAACGCATGTCTACATCCCTATAATATAAAAGGTAGCTAAGAAACATCAACCTTTTAATTATATATTTCCATCTAAAAGTATCAACACCGGCTTTGACCGCAACATATTCAATTTGATCCTGAAAATTTAAATAACCAATATGTCATTTATTTCTAAATATGATTATATATATAGCAATTTAATTATAATTTTGCAAAATTTTAAATTCTACAAAATTTCATATTAAAAGTTACGCTAGTTTATAAAAGTTGCTAGCTAATATTAAAAATTAAGGATATATATATATATATATATATATTTCATTGGCATATAGATCTTGAAAGTAAATTTCTCTATCAGCGAAAAGAAGAAGATTGCATATATATATATATATATATATATATATTTCATTGGCATATAGACCTTGAAAGTAAATTTCTCTATCAGAGAAAAGAAGAAGACTGCATAATGCGAAATTTAAGAATAGACTTATGGTGAAAAGGTTTTTGAGAGAAGTGATTGATTGCCACAGCCAGCTGGTTCGACAGTTGGAGTAGCCGATTAAGTAGAAAACTAAAACGTGTCTGACAAATATCATTAAAGGTCACCATACAAAAGCCACTTATTGCATCATTTTACTATTAGGATCATAATTTCCCTCACAAAAAGCAAAATATAAAATTGAAATTTTTTGGTCATATCTTATCTGATATCTTTGAATTCCTAATCTGATATCTTTGGTTAGTTCTTTTATACGACCTGACCCCTGAGAAGCACCATATTAAACCTTTCCTTAATATTTTTTTGCTAACTAAACCTTTCCCTAATCTTACCTATAAAGTATGGCTTTAAATATTTTATTATTTGCTTTTAGTGGGCTCAATCTTACTGTTTGCTCTGTTCCATTACTTTACTGGAATGAGTTAGTAACTTGGGGCGGACGCAGGTAGAGTGTGGCATGTGCCACTGTAGTTACTTTAAAATTTATTCAGATTCTTGTTGCAATGTGAATATATTTTTGGATCCGTCCCTGGGCATAACCCGTATCTTTTGAAGACTTTGAATGATTCATAACTCTAACAGATTTCTGATGAGTTAATTTGTTAATCTCAACTTCCAACATTATTTTGGAGTTAATAGGAAGATTAAGTTGAAAACAGGGGAGAATAATGAAATGATGGAACAAAAATATCACTTTATGTCGCCAACTACAAAACGATCTATTTATTCATAGCTGAGCAGAAGAAAAAAAAAGTCATAAACTCCCTAAAACAACCACGAATTACTACATCAAAGAGAGCCGACCTTGAGACCAACTCCATCAAACAAGAACTTGTTACTCTTCAAGTATCATTTAAGTTTGGCCTTATTTTCCCAAAAGCTTATTTGATCTTGTCGTCTAATAAATATGACGACGTCAACATGTCTTGGTTCGAGAGGTCAGACTGTCAATTGTATGTTTTTTTGTTTGTTTGTTTCAGTATTTAGTTTATGTTCAAAACACGTCTAAAAATGTGTAAAACGACCCTTTTGTTGCTGTGACTTTCTAAAAATCAGACAGCAAATCACGCAAGTAGATTTTTGAACTTTATACTTTTTCAAAGATCCTACTTATCTTAAGAAACTCTCTAAGAACAAGAATTTAATTCATTTACCGTCTAAGTGACTAAAACGACCAAAATAAATGTATGTTATATCTTTCACATCATGTTCTTTCATTTGGATAATTCAAAGGTATAAATACATGTGCAAGAGATAGCATATGAAATTTGGCATATGTAGTAATTTGCTACTTGGTAGTTTAGGTAATAATTTGCTAATTAGTTAGTAGTTATTTGGTTAAAGGTAATGAGTTAATCATCTTTCTTGTTTTGTTACTTCAGTAAGTTATAAGTTATCCATTACTCCTATGCGTTTATTTGTATGTTTTGTGGTTTTTTTCTTTTTGATAATCTTCTTTGTTTTTTTCTTACACCGTAAAAAAACACATATTGCTTTATTTATCCATCCAATATATTTTAGTTCTATTTTTACTCCTTTTCCAAGCCAGGTTATGATTTTATTATTATTTTTGTAAAAAGTTATGATATGCACATTGAGGATTTAAACTTGTTTATAAGATCTGATGAGGTGGTCTATGTTACACTGACATCGTATCACCCATCTCTTTTCTTTATAACTTGCCTCCACTCTCTTTATCTCTGTGTCCATCATCACACTTTCTACAGACTTCTTCTTCTCTCAATTTGATGGCACAGTCTCTCCTCTCATACGACGTCACTGACCTCTGTCTCGGCAAGCCTCCTCTCCGTTGTCTCTCCGCCTCTTCCTCCTCTGTATCCGACGCCATCACCGCCCTCAAATCCTCTGAAGATCCTTTCCTCTCCGTCTGGAACTGCAATCACGACCATGATGATATCGCAGACTGCGAGTGTCTGGGAAAGATATCAATGGCTGACGTCATCTGCCACTTGTCAAAAGACGAAGTCCACACACTCTCTGCCTTGAACTCACCTGTCTCTGTTCTTCTCCCCACAACTCGCTCCCTCGTCCTCCATGTTCAACCTTCGTGCAGGTTTGTATACTTAATCTCTCAAATCCAAACATGGGTTTATATAAAAATCCAATCTTTCTCTGCTCTTCCTCTGTTACTATACTCTGTTTTTATATAAAAATTAGATCTTTATGTATTCTTCCTCTGTTTCTATGCTCTGTTTTTATATAAAAATTAGATCTTTTATTACTTTATATATTCTTTTCTCTGTTTCTATGCTCTGTTTTTCTATAGATTAACTTTGATTTTATTTTATCAGCTTGGTTGAAGCAATTGATCTGATAACACAAGGAGCACATAATCTGATTGTCCCGATTCAGACAAAGACCACCACCAAGAAGAGACAGCAAAACGACAACGTCTCAATCACCACCACTCACTCGAACGGACAAAGATTCTGCTGGATCACACAAGAAGACATCGTTCGCTTCCTCCTCGGATGCATCGCCGCGTTCTCTCCTCTCCCCGCGATGTCAATCTCCGATCTCGGCATCATCAACAGCTCACACGCAGTTCTCGCCGTCAACTACAACTCCTCCCCCTCCCTCGTCGTCTCCGCCGTCTCCCGCGCTCTCACCGACCAAACCTCCGTCGCTGTCGTCGACAACGAAGGAGACGATTCATCCATGTACCTCATCGGAGAGATCTCTCCGATGACGCTAACCTGCTGCGACGAGACGGCTGCCGCGGCGGTGGCGACACTCTCCGCAGGGGACTTGATGGAGTACATAGACGGTGTGAATCCGCCGGAGAGTCTCCTCCAAGAAGTGAGAAACCGTCTCGAGAGTAGAGGACTGATGGGTTTGCTCTCGCTTTTGGACTCTATCTCGCTCTCGTCGTCGTCGCCGACGTCGGGTTACTCGTCGGATGAAGAGGCTCCGGCGAGGGCGTTCGGGAGGTCGATGAGTATATCGACGAGAATGGCGAGGAAGGCGGAGGCGGTGGTGTGTAATCCGAAGAGCTCGTTGATGGCGGTGATGATTCAGGCGATTACTCACCGGACGAATTACACGTGGGTGATTGACAAGGATGGGTGCTTTGTTGGCATGGTTACTTTTGTTGATATCTTAAAAGTTTTTAGGACATTTTTGTAGTATATCTTCTTTTTTCTTTTGTGTTTTCTATTTTACTAAAACCCAGCAAAAAAACAATAAAATGTGTTGTTAAGGGTTTTTGTTTTGTTTTTTGTATGTGTGTCTGGATGAGTTCGGTTGGATATTGCTATCAATTAAAAAGGAACTAAATATTTTTCGTTTGTTTAAATATATCAATCACTTTAATTTTGGAAAATATCATAGCATTACACGCTATATCCATTATGCCAACTTATTTTGTTTTGTTTTATTTAACAAACTCAAAAAGGGATTAATGAAACTAAAACACAATTCTAATGATTGTATCTATACTATTATTTGCGAAGTGATTTTTCGCAACGGAGATCTCACGTTAAAAGTTAGACTGGTTAAAGTCTTTGTTACCCTTGATGAATAAAATATATAAATTAGCCAAAAATAAAAACAAATTTAATACTTATTTGATTAGATAAATGATTTAAATTAATAATAATGATAAGAATTATCCATAATCTAAATATATATTTAAAAGAAAAAGATAATTCTTATATATATTGTGTTGTTATCCGGAAAATATATTTAGTTAAAAAAATTCAAAAAAACACATAAATAAGTATTCATAAAATAAAAATTTTAATTGTATATAATTCAAAAGAGAAAATTGAAAAAATATAATACGAAATTATTTATTAAAGGAATATAATAATATAATGATAAATGTATATATTTGTGAAGTTATTTTTCTGAACTCACACGTTAAATTAAATTTATATTTATATTTTATATAGTTAAACCTTAAACATGAATTAATCATATAAAAAAAAGATCATTAAAAAATAGAGAAAATACGTGTTTGATAAAAATAAATTAAAATATATTGTACTATTATCTAAGCTAATATGATTCTTTTTGTACGATTAATTGTTGAATGTATATTTATCGATTCAATTTTTCAAAAGGAAAGATAGATTTCTATATTTTTTTATCAATTAAGAAGAAATGAAATAGACTTTAGATTTTTCAAAGTTTTAAAGGAAAAAAAATATTTTTTTTTTAATTTGTGAATAACTTTATCATGTAGAAAAGTTTAATGTTTTCGGTCAAATTTGGATGCAAATAACTATTTATTTTGATGATTTTTAAATTGATTAAAAGATAATTAAGCCCGCTTGTGCGGGCAAAACACCTAGTGATAATTAATTACCTTTGTTTATGGGCAAATACTTGATTATAATTTTAATTGAATAAAGATATAAAGTTTAAACACCATATAAAATATAAAGTTTATATGTAAAAAAACGATATAACTCCGACATTAGTGGGTGGTAAAGATATACTTACAGCGTTATCCTGTTACAAAAGCTATCCAGTAAAAAAAAACTAACCTTTAAGATATTTTTTAATTTGTTCGGTGGTATTAAAGAAAAAGGCTAAAGAAAGACAAAGAAGAAGAAGAAGACAAAAGCCATCACCGTCCTTGTCGTTAAAACCTCCATTAATCATCAATCACCGCAAAGACGTCGACTTTTATAGCGAATTAACATTCCCCCAATCTCTAAATCCTCTATCATTGGCGATTTTCCTCATCTCCGACTCGGTACGTTCTTCTTCATATGTCTTTGTGTGGATTCTCTTTAGCTATTGTTTGTTGATTAATCTGTCTCGCGTATGTCAACGGATGATTTGGGGTCAGATTCATCTGCAAGTCCCTCTCTTTATGAATTCTAGAGAAGAAAAAATGGGAAAGTTAGGGACTTTCTCGCTTAAGAGAATTGAAATCTGAATCCTGGTCTCGGCTGTATTGATTTGCTTTTAGATAAAGACAACATAATATCTTTGATTATTCTGATTTTTGGTTTTAGCAAATGAGAATGTAGCAATCTCATTGCATCTGCTTAGGATTTGACAATTTAGAAACACAAGTCAATTTAGGTTGATCAAAACCATTGTCTGTGTGGAAAAAGATCTTGTGAATACGTCTCACTTTTTCACATAGTTTCCTTGTATGGGTTCTCTTCGAATATATGTTAGATGGAATATTTACGGAATCCCCATGAATAGGCTGATAAACCCATCATTTCTCACTGAACCTAATAAGAGCCTGGTCTTTTTATGCTCATTAGATCGAAACATGTTGCACTTTGTGTCGCATCTAGTTCTATAGTTGCATATGTTGAAATGTTAGTTCTCTGTATGTAGTTTTATATACCTTGTTAGTGAGCTCTTTAGTGATCTGATCTGAATGTGTATGTTGTTTGAACTTCTCCTTGTGCCAAATACGTCTTTTTCTTCTAGCATTGTGGATTATCGTTTATCTCATGTATGATGTATATGTGACTATTGGTGACTCCTTGTAATTTCCAATCATATATGACTCTGCAGGCAATATTTGTAATATGAATAGCTGACAATGTGTGTGTGTTCCATGAACAGATTGTTTATCTCCCATGGAATTAGAAGGGAATTTCTTCATGTCTGATGCTCAACAAGCACATGACGATGCTTTCTTAGCCAAACAAAAACCTAATCTCGTCACGGGTCCTATTGGAGCTCAAAATGCTAATGAAAGTGGCTGTTTTGATTGCAATATCTGCCTAGACACAGCACATGATCCGGTGGTCACACTCTGCGGACACCTTTTCTGCTGGCCTTGCATTTACAAGTGGTTGCATGTTCAGTTATCATCTGTCTCCATTGATCAGCACCACAACAACTGCCCTGTCTGCAAATCCAACATCGCCATCACCTCATTGGTTCCTTTGTACGGAAGAGGTATGTCTTCGCCTTCTTCCACCTTTGGCTCGAATAAACAAGACGCAGAGTCCACAATAATACCGCGGAGACCTGCTCCATCAACCTTGTACAATCAAATCACATCAGATTCGTCTCTGAACCCAAGGTTGCAACATCAAACAATGTCTCCAACGTTTCACAGCCACCAATACTCCCCTCGTGGCTTCACCACAACGGAATCAACCGACCTTGCTAATGCAGTCATGATGAGTTTCCTCTACCCGGTGATTGGAATGTTTGGGGACATGGTCTACACAAGGATATTTGGAACCTTCACAAACACAATAGCTCAGCCTTACCAGAGCCAGAGGATGATGCAGCGTGAGAAATCTCTTAACCGGGTATCCATATTCTTCTTCTTCTGCATCATCCTTTGCCTCCTTCTCTTCTAGCTCCCCCCCTCTCTCTCTCTCTCCCCACTTGTATAGTTTTTGATGTAAATAGACTGTAAACCTTAAAGTCACTGTGGTATAACAATTACATACGCTATTGTTCCGAGTTAGGTCTCATATTGCAGACCAATTACTCGCTGTGTATTGCATATCTATAGACATATACATGCTTGTATCAAAACTAAATGAACCATATATATTTGTTGGAGATTCTATATGTTGTTGTGTCGTCTGTCTTATTCAGATATATTATATTCTGAGAAGGTTTTGTATGTGGAGAGAAGAAGTGAGTTGGTAATATATTATTATGTCACAATCTCCACATTGTCTGGTCACATTGCATTAAGACATGAAACATATAAACAGAAATCGCCTCTTGAGTTCAGCTGCAGGCATATGGAGCCTATCTGCACTGCCTTTGAGTGAGTTTAGATGGCGAGACAAGTCTGCTAACAAGCCCACTTATCCGTCTAGCGCCAGGACCAGGATTGATCTTTGACGGATCACCAACCTTTGAGCAGTTCGGTTCGCCTTCACACCAACCACCAGGTGTAAAGCTCCCATTCCCTCTACCGAGCAGCTCTGTGTCAATCTTGTCCAAAACAAGATCATTGCATTCGAACTTGCGAGCAAACGCAGCTCCGCTTGCAATCATCCTCTCTGTGTCACTGATGTTGAGCGTGAGAGGATGCTGTTTTGGACGTTTGTCCCATGAGATGTAATGCAGGTCACTGTTAACCACCGTGGTAGAATACTCTGGTGCGTTGCATATCACTGTGTGGAAATAACCTTCCGGTGAAGAGACGAAATTAGTGTAATACATTAACAGAGTCCGTGGGAGATTGTCCCATCCCCAGATGCAATATTCTACAAAGGACCGAGATAAGACCATCCAAGCAGAACCTAAAAGTTTCCACCAAAACATGTAGCTCTTAGTTAACAGCTTTTTCATAATCATTACATCAAGTTAATGAACACTAGTTACCAGTGAATAGTTTGAATGCAGTTGGCAATGTTCTATTAGGAGAAACCCAAAAGATATCTGATTTTTCTGTCGAGTAAAGCGCCGGGTCTATGATCACAGGCTTTGCTCGATGCACCCTATGAAAAGAAACTGAAAATCATTACAAGAATCATTACTCTTTTTAAACACTACTCAAAAGTAAGAGTCATTACGCTTTCCAGCCTAGTCTGCTAGAGTGATCGATGAAGTTTAGGTTCCTGTCCAGCCCGGAGAATGTATGTATGAGATCTGCAAGATCACAAGCTGAGAGATTAGGATACAAAAGATACATTTTTAACATTTATTTATATATGTATACCATCTTGAGTCACTAGAGGATAATCAGAGGCGCTGAGATTGATGAACCAATCCCAATCTTTACTCTGCCTCAAGAGAATGGCACATGCATGAAGCGTATTGGCCACCATTGTTGGTCCAGTATATGTAACGAGATTAGCTTTTTCGATCATGTAAACATTACCAACGTCGCTAAAAACAGGATCTTCCTTTACACGTTTAGCTAGCTCAAGCCTTTCTTCAGCAGGAGACTCAAGATCGAGATGAAGAACGTATTGGTTTCTTGGATGGTACAGTGCTCTTAATACTCTCCATAGACTCTCTAAGTCACCTTTTGACCCTGAAACAAGATAACCAAAGCGAGGACTAGACTGTACTTGAGGAGGATGTGAAGATGACTGGTTGGTATCTGACTCTAGGAGTTTGATGGTTGTTTCGTTTGTGGTTGATAGATTGGCGTAGAAGATGAGTGAGTTAATGGAACGAGCAGAAGAGAGGAGACCCATGTTGAAGGATACAACTGTAAGGAATATGAGCATGAAAGAAGCCATCAGAGAAGCCATTGCTAAAGGGAAAATCCATATCTTTTCTGAGTTTGAAAACGCCATTAAGTAGAGCCTTTTTGTATGATCTGAAAAACGAAATGGTTACACAAAACTGTTATCTTGTAAGATCATCATCATGAGAGAAGTAAGATAATTACAAACCGAGATTTCCCCTAACCTACGTCAAATAGGAAATAAAAAGAAAGAAAAAGAACTGACACATAGTCATAGATTCATGTTTTCTTTGACGTAACGAAGCTACCCTTATATTTCATCATTGATTTTGTTCATGTGTTTTTAACGAAATGAAAAACATGATGACGTGATTCTCAAGTATGAGCCTATATTATACCCAGTAATAAAAGACAAATATGAGCTGCCTGAAAATTAGAAAGGCTTACGAAGATTCAAAGCACGTATCAATGAACGTAAAGATTTAAGTATTATGAGCAAAAAAAGAAGAAGAGGAAAAAAATGGACCTGGTTCTTTAGTTTCCTGAAAACTTGACGAAGCTGGAATGTTTAAAGCTCCGAACACTTCACTTACTATCCAGGAGGGGAAGATTTATATATCACACGAGGATTTATTAATTAAACTGTGCATAACTCGTTGTCCAGAAAAATATATAAAGAAATCATCTGCGATTTGACTTACAAAAGAAGAAAGAGATGGTTGAGAAAAAAATTATAGAATTGATCAAAGAGTATCTTATTTACAATATAAAATGATAATTTAACTATATTATTAAATATTAAACTTAAAAATATAGGATCAGTCAGGCTACACGTGGTGAGTGATTTTAAAATTTTTATCATATAATTTTTACTCCTATATTTTCTATTTCTATATCTCTTTTTCTTATTATTATTTTTAAAAAGTGATTAATTATTTTCCAAGTTAATTTCTTAAACTATCACTATACTATAGGATACTATATTGATATTTAATAAGAAAAAATTAAATGTCTTACTATCATAGTTTAGCAGGAATTTTCTAAGCTTTTTTTTAAAAATAAATTAGTTAAACAGTATTATACTTTATCAAAAATATATTTAAATAAAATCATATAATAATGTTCTGTAGTTATTTAGAATTTTCGTTTTCCGCATGTATTTTTTTTTCTTTGAGCACATGTTTATCACATGTATATGTCTTCATCTTAATCATTCCCCAAAACATTGCAGTTCTCTTTGACCTTTTTTTTGTGTCTGGAATCTTTCATTTTTTTGTTAAGTTCCATAGCTAACTAGTAGCTTCTATTGATTGATTTGTTACACTTAAAATAGGTTTTTGTGTTCAGCATGGTAAGTAAATTAATTATTTTTAAGAGTATGAAATAAATAGTTGGTCATAACAATACGGTTGGTAAAGTTGTATTGAGAAATGTTGTTGATGTTGACAAAAAAGAAAAGTCTTGTTGAAAATAATTCACATTGATTAATGTTCATAATTAGTTAAGTTAAATAATAAGTTCATTAATATAGATTAATGTTCTAAAAATTAGTTCAGTCGGATTTGAGCGATTCAGACCAATTTTTAAAAAATCGGTCCATTAAAAAAATCAGTCTAATTGCAAATCTTACCAATAATTCTCTATAAAATGTCTAATTGCGACTTAATAACTTTTAGAACATTGAAATAAATAGAGAACCTTACGTAACTTTTTTTGACAGTTTAATGATTTGTTCCTTCTATCATTACATTCTTATGACATTTTTTTTTTCCAATACTTTTTGTAAATCTCTATAATATTATTTGAGAAGTCAGTTTCCTATGTGTCGCTCTCACGTTCATTCTCACGATGGTTGATTACATTGATACCCTTAATGAGTTGAAAATAGTATTATTAATTCTTTTATTTTTAGTTTTTCCTTTTCAAAAATTTCCAAAAAGATATGTAATAAAAAAGCATTTTTTTATAAATTCATAAAAAACAAA